TATTTGAATGATTACTGCTGAGAGAAGGTAATGTCTCAGATTTGATTTTAGTCTCATCTTGATTAAAAAATGTGTGTATTATATGCAACCAATGGGCCTTTCTTGTGGTACGTTTCATATGACCTGTGTGGATGGATTTTTTTTTTATCATGGGCAGTAAAAAAGAAGCCCAGTTTTAAGAGACGCTTGTTTGATCAGGATGAACATACCAACTAAAACGAGGTAAAAACTCCCAAGCATTTATTCAGATAGATCTTGATATGTTGTTTGTTTGGTGTGAGAAGTTGCAATCATTTGTTATTTTTATTTGAATTTTGTTATTCTTATAGCCAGTTGGTTAATATTATTTTTTCACTGTTGCATATGCTTAAAAGTTATTTACATTTAACTACAATTGTATCATGTTTACATCTATAATTGAAATAGTATTAGGGATAAAAGATAGACAGGTAATCAAATATTTGAATGCTTTTTTCTGTGATATTTTCAATGCCGTGCACCAACAAGACAAAACTTGCACAGGCTAAATATTGGAGATGCACATTAATCTCTTTTTTTAAATTTTATTTTGTCTTTATTTTTAATGATCAGGTCTCCTCTACTATGTACATGTTGTAAATTGCTTTTTCCCTATCATCACCACATACTAATATGAGTGCCATCAGCCCCAATCGTCACCACATACCAAGATAAATGCACTTACCTATCATCACATGACGAATCCACTTGCTCCCAATCACCTACCAAGATTCTAATGCCATTCCATCGTAGGTTTAACCCAGACTATGTTTTCTCAACTGTCATATTTTTTTTTTCCCTCCATTGTTTAAAAATCTGGTTGTTGATGACTTGTCATTTGGCTGATTGCTTACTGATGTCTGGCTGTTGATTGTTTGTTGTTATCTGGCTGTTGGTCATGACATCAACTTGGCACAAACTGGTTATTTAGAATAAAAATCTAATTTATAAATATCTGCTTGTGAACTATTTCTCCCCAGTATAATGAATCATGTTTGTATAATTTTTGAAGATAATAAAATGCACTTTTTAATCCTATTGTAATTGTATACTGAAGAAATAATTTGTAATGCCAAAATATAAAAGAACAATATTAAAATCACCTGTGGGTATTCAAACAGTGTTTAGTTAGTTCACACTTTTTGTAGATCAGCTTTGCATTCCATATAATTACATTTAAATATTTATTTTATTTAAATGTGCAACTAAATAAAATTACATATTTAAAAAAAAAATTATAATACCAAATCAGAAGAATAGGGTGCAGCTCTGTGGTGATATGGTAATACTTCTGTCTCCATATCATTAGTTATTAAGTCATGGTTTTCAGGGCCAGAGAAAGACAATGACGGCTGTGGATCAACTGTGTTAAGGACCTTTTGAAGTCCACAAAATTAATCTTCAGCAGGCCACAAACCTAGCCTTTCCAGAAGAAGTGGACAGAAGAAGATTAATTAGCGGATTCAAATTCATCTGGCCTCATCTCCAGGTATTTCCAAATAGATGGAATAAACTCCAGGAATGCAACTTTTATGCCCCACACACACAAAGTGTACATTTATTATGTTAAGGAAATCAATTAACTTTTCTCTGAACTTATATGCCACTGTGGCGGAATCAACAACTTATTTACATCTTACTCATTCTACTACATCCACTGACCAGTTATGGTGAGTAATACAAGATGAGCATTTAACAAAAAACAGTTATAATTTCTGTTATTTTTTTTTACGGACATCAACAATTTCTTACGGATTAGACCCTATACATTCTTGTGACAAACTTTTACGGACTTTACGTAAATTTAAGGACAGTTAGCAACCCTGCAGGGATGCTCCGATTGTTAAGGGCTAGTGGGCCCAAAGTTATAATGTGGAAAATATGTATGCTATAGACCTTGAATGCAGGTGGTAAGAAAACAAAATTAGAGGGGGGGGGGCTCCAAAAGTCACTCGGCCGCACAGTTCCTCCGACCCTGTCAGTGTGAGCATGGAGTCTTTAAAGCTTCTATAAATCTTTATTATTTTTAAACGATACTCTCACATTTGGTGGCGCTAAGGCTAAGGTGGAATAATCAAGTGTCTTATATTATTATTCAATGCAGTAGTCAGTAGTTGAAATTTAAGAGAAACAAAAACAAACACAAAAAAAAAACATTGTTGTGACACATTGTTTGCATTATTTAAGAGAAGAAAGTTGAAATTTAAGAAGAGAAAAACAAATTATCATGGGAGATCACTCTTAACATTCTGATCTTAAGCGTTGGTCTTTTCTGTAATAGAACCAAAAGAGAAGGGCAGTCGGTACTTAATACAACAACAATGGCCGTCAGCCTCATCAAAAAGTTAAATATGAGGGAGGTAAGACATCAATGAAAATATGCGTCAATTTATAAAAGTACAATTTAAATATTGTGTTAGCATATTAAACCATTTCCCATTATATCGTGCTATAACATAACTAAGTGTTGCGTTAACCGCGGCTCACAGCAAAAGCAGCTTCTCGCTGATGCAGTTAAGATGAGAGAATGAATTATAAAAAAAAAGTTAGGCCTATCCTAAGTTATGATGAATGAGTTAAATTGAACTAAATTCAGTCTGAGAGGAATTATAAAAAAATCCCAAAAAAACTTGCCTAATAATTTACATTTTACTACTTTTAATTATAAAAACTTTAATTCTTTACATCATTTTATATATTTTATCATTATCAATCACCATTCATTCAGATTCATTCATAATTATGAATGAATGTAATATGATCAAGTATGATTTTCTTTTGAAAATATTATGTTAGCATATTAAACCATTTCCCATTATATCGTATGCTATAACTTAACTGATTGTTGTGTTAACCGCAGCTCACAGCAAAAGCAGCTTCTGGCTGATGCAGTTAAGACAAGATGAGATAAATGTTATATAAAAAAAGTTAGGCCTATCCTAAGTTATGATGAATGAGTTAAGTAGAACTAGATTCAGTCTAAGAGGAATATTAAAAAAAACAACTTGCCTAATAAATTTACATTTTACTACTTTTAATTATAAAAGTGTTAATTCTTCTCATGGTTTTATATATCATTGTCATTATCATCATCATTCATTCATAATTATTAATGAATGTAATATGATCAAGTATGATTTTCTTTTGACACTTTTTTCCTTGTTCAATTTAATCAAATTTTCAAATGACAAATGAATGGAATAAAAATAGTTTGGTTTAACAATAGTCATCATAATTATTTTATATACTATATCTAAGTTAATTAGCAACAGATAGTCTATAGGGTATATATATATATATTTATATATAAATATATATAAATAATATATATAATATGAGATGTTGCCTAGCAGTAGTCGTAGTAGAAGAAGTAGTAGTACTAGTACCATTATTGCTATTAGCCTACTCTTTTATTGCAACAAATCTTAAGGACATCTTATTTAATGATGAGTGTTCCCTAAATCAGAGCTTCCCAATGGTGTGCCACTATACACTTATGTGCAGTGAGATGGGGCTAGGTGTTCCGGGGGCTTTTACCTTTAATAGGAGAAAAAAACTATGATACTGTGGTGGGCAAGTACATATAATAAATGCTAATATTTTCCTCTTTTGCTACTGAGCCTAACTTTTTTATATTATAAAAGTTTTACTGGTTAATATTCATATTAATGTCAAGCACATACTTGTAAATTTGTGTAAATATTTTTTATTTATGGTGGGCCGCAGAAATCTGGGAAGGGTCTAGGTGTGCAAATGGTGGAGCAAATTCATTTTGTGACTTTTGTAGGCCCCTTCATTCAAAGTTGGAGTTTAAATTTTGTAAATGTCACAACTTTGGGCCCTTTAAATATCTAAGCCCCCTTTGCAGTACACATGCAATGGCTTTGGGTGGCAGGACAAAGTACCTGATAAAGAAATCCTAAAATCAGCTGGTTATCTCAGCATTCAAAATATTATTACAAAAAGCCCAAGCCAGGTGGGCTGGACATGTGAGAATGCCAGACAGCAGATGCCTTAACAACTAATTTTTCATTTGACAAACTATCCATAAGGAAGCGTTAGGCTGGTGGGCAGAAAAAAGTTTCAATGATTGCCTAAAAGTGTCCCACAAAGCCATTTACATTGACCGGAACAATGGAAACATTTGCTTTGGATTGCACAAGCTGGCAAGTCAGACTCATTGTTGGAGCACACTCTTCAGAAAGTAAACATACTTCTCACACCCCAACAAGGCGCTCAATAAGGAAAACCAGAATTGCCTCCAATACCACTAGGAGGTCAAAATACTTGTATCCTGGATGGGGGCAAACTTTCCAGGCACTAATAGGACTCATGTCACCTGTATACTCAACTTTGAAAATAACCTTGGTCATCTTTGCATTCTATTTCTGCCTATTGTTCTATCTTTATAAGCATGAGTACACTTTTGTCTTCTTTTTGGTGGGTAGAGATTAAGAACAGGATTTGTTGCATCTTGTTAAAAACTAGATAATAAAATACATTTTTTGTCTGAATGCCTTCCTCCACAAACGCAAATATACAAAACAAAAGAAAATTAGATGAAAAGAGTGGGAGGTGGGGTAACTTAGCTGACACTGACTTGACAGGAATTAGTTAATTAACATAACTCTTTAATTTTGAATTTTCATTTTTAAGGACTTATATATTATTACCCAACACACTTGTTCAAACAAAACTTGAAGAATATAGTTAATTTTTCTGTCCATTTATTTTCCCCCAAATTAAAGGTTAAGAGATAAAGAAGCTGTTTTAGAATTACAAAAATGCATTAACTAAATGCATTAATTAACACCTAATGCTCTTACCTCATGTAATTTTTTCAATAAATTTAATGGCTACTTAAATAAGAAGCTGAAAGATTTTATTTTAAAAAACGTATTAATTTAATCACCAACATTTAACATATCTTTCAGCTTACAGGACGTTTCAGTCTACGGACCTCAGATACTCTATGGAAGCCATTTTCCAAAATACCTGGGCGTATGTGTTATCGCTTAAAATATTTAGTACCATCCAGCATCCTAGATGAAGGGTAATATTGATATGCTACTTATTTAATATTATGATTATTACCACTTTTTTAAAATCAAAATATGGCATATTAAGTGTTTTGGCACCAGTGGTGCTATTTCTTTATCATTTAGTTGGTATTATCCTATTCCATATAAAACTTTTTGGTGTGAATTAAAATTGTCTAATGATGGGAATTACAACCTAATTTGTGATATGAACTGTAGTAAAACTAAGTATAGCTGTAAGGGGGTCTCATTTTTATCACTGCTAATAAAACTTTGAAAAATTAAATGTATGGTTTACAAATCTTTTGCCTGATGGATAAATTTAATTTTTCTTCTGAAAACCAGATACGTTTTTTTGGGATTCAGCAAATCTGGCCACTTTGTAATATCATACTCCCTTCAGATTGATGCTGATGACCATTCTGCATATCCTGATCATGTATACAGGTTGCAGTGGTGGCTGTTCATACCCTGTAAAAGACTGCAACTGGTAAGCAATACTATTTAATCAGACATAATCTATTGAAAAAAAAATTGTATTTGGCATACTGAACATTTTTAAATAAGTGAAATGGTTGCATGTATTTTATTAATTGGAAAAAAATATATAATTTATGAGTACCATGTTATAAGCTCATAAATATTGATAATATGTTTAATATGGGTAATAGCATGAAGTATATTTATTTAGATTCTCTAAATCTAAGGAGACACTGAAAAACATTATTGATTTTTACTGATGGTTTTTTACTAGGATAAAAAAACTTGTAACTCAAGGATTTTATAAAAATACAATAACAATTGTTTTATATCACTTCCTTTCTAAAAAAAAATTGCAAGTGAAAGTGCAATGGTGCAGTATAATGCTACCATATAGTGCTTATTATTGGAATCCCCAAAAGTCTTCATGCTTTTTTGCAAACAAGTGTTTGGTCTTGCCTTTCTTATTTTATGAATGTCTAAGAGATATGATCTTAATTTCATTTTAAACTAATTAAAAAAAAATTAAATTAAAATATTAAACCTAATAATATTTAAGGGGAACAGCAAGATATACTACTGTATTGCAAGATGCTCACTTTTCTTTAATTATTTTATTCAATCGTTTGTCCCATCTTTAATAAGACACTGTCTATTTTCTATAATAGATCCAACTAAGAAAACTATACAAATGTACAATTTTTATTACCAGTTATTTTTTTGTTACAATCTAGATATCTGAAGTTCGTTTATTTGGCGAAGACAATATTTTCCATTCATTATTTATTGCCTACTGTGAATGGCCAGAGGACAGGACTAAGATTGCCATATATGGCCACAGGTTGGAAGATTGAAAAGTGACTGTATTATTTTCTTAAGCATTAACTTGAGGAGCTATTTTAAAAATTGATTAAAAAACTATTAAAATAATCATAAAGGATGTACATTTTGTTTGCACCAGCATAAAAAAAGTTAAGATGAATTTGTCAGTGGATGAAAGAATTGCATTCATCATTATTACAACAGTCCATTATAAAAAGAAAATGAATAATTTCCACAATTATGTTCAACAGTACAGCTCCAGCTGGTGAGGATGGTTGTCAGTGTTATCTTACTGTGACTGCAGTTCCATCTCTAGGAGAATGTCATGACTGTCATATGATTTACCATGGTATGTAGAATATTCATAACACTTAAAGGTTATAAAGACAGGTTGTTGAATGTTTCTTGTTGCAAAAGAAGACACTGAAGTAACTATAATGCTTTCTTTTGGTTTCTGACTTGGTGGGAAAAAAAATTTGTAACTTTCAATCATGTTACAGCTTTTCGGCGCTTATCCCTCTGTTCCCTTATGTTCTACTCCTGCTGTAAATACCACACCATTTTCAACGTTGCCTGGTGAAGGTAATTCTTCTTGTTAAGGAGTTAAAAAGAGTTGTAAATTGACAAAATGCTAAATGCTAATTACGCATTGTTTTGCACGCCACATTATTTATTGTGTAGTGAAGTCATGTTTATTAATTCTATTTATAAACAGGAAATTCAGGCTCTTTGTTGGGGTTTGGTGCATATGGGGGGTGTGGGCTTGATTTTTTATGCTAATTTAGATTAAATACCTGTTGTGCTTTATTTGACAGTTAATCAAAACTTAATGGTTTGCCTTTCTAGATCGCTTCAAACTGCATGTACTTAGACTGTTAGTGTTGAAAGGAATGATTTAAATGCAGAAATAGGTGCAGAAGTAGATAATGGAAATGACAGTAATGTTGATATTGAATTAGTTCAATATTTTGAAATCTCAGATGGGTCAGAAGACCAAAATGATGTTGATAGATCTGACTGGTCCAAACAATATTATTCAATTAATATGAAGAATTTAGGATGCAACTGGTCCTAATTTAGACTCATTTTCATTAAAATTTCACCTTCTTTCTACAATTATCAGTAATTTTTTTTTATGACTGGATGATAAAAATATTAAATTTTTAAAGTCTGCAACTGATGGACAAAATAGGGTTATTTCCCTTTGCTTGGTACTGAAAGTAATTTCTTAATGGTCACTTCACTACTAATTGGGCTAAATTATTATTTTATGAAGCTTGGGAATAGACAAAATTAGCAATTTAACAACAGAGTTAAAAACAAAAAAAGGAGACGTAAGTTATTGCTTTTGAGGCTGCAGGCAAACTTTTGTATAAAAAAAACCCCTTAAATTTGCAATTTGTACTTCAATGCAGCAGTGTAGTACAAACAAATTTAACCTTTGAAATAAAATAATTGAAAATTTTATTTTTTTAAAAATATCAAAGGTTGAAGATGTGCGATGATGTTCTTCAGTTGTTTTTTTTTTTATCTTAAAAGAAAAGATTCATTTTAATCAACAGTAGTGCCCCAACTTCCATCGATACAACAATGCCTTCGTCACAGCTTCTGTGTGCATTCAAAATTTGAGCTGGCACCCCCTTTCCCTGTCTTCTCACCAAGAGTGCAGTTAAGAGTTGATGGTATAGCTGTTTTGAACACTGGGGACTCTATTGTTGCCTTACAGGTGAGCTTGTGATGTTCAAATAGTCATCATGTTTTTATTACACATGTTTATTAATTTATCTGATGCATTGAAAGAAAAATGTTTCATCAGCAGAAAGACAAAGTTGCCATTGTTTTTAATTGACTTTCAAGTGCTAAAACCATTCAAATATAAAAACTCAGTTTTATTTAAATTGTTTAATGTGAATCTCTAAATTTATCTTCAGCATTTCTTTAGTTTACAATATAAAAAAGAACAATACACCTAGTCTCTTTATTACGAGGTGAAATCAAGCAGACAAGAATATTTGTTTTACTTTTGATTTCCTAGGTTGACACACAGCTTCCACTAAATAGTTTTGATACAGAAGGCAGGCTAGCCATGGACCAGGAGGAGATGCAATCTAGAGCAGGTCTGGAAAAAGTGATCTTGGGTGCAGATCTCTCCATATTTGGTACTGTCAGCACATATTTCACAGAGCAGGAGGAGCCCTGCCAAGATCTCAGTCCTAAGCATAGAAATAGCTCAGAATCACCACTACTCATTGAAGAGGAAGGGGAAAATTTTTACTCCGCCGACATTTCTGAACAAAGTGATACAGATCAGAGTGAATCCAAGTCTACCAAATCCAGCTGTGACAGATCTCGTCTATCATGTGAGAAATGCTTGTATGGAAGCAGTGGTGGCAACTTGAAAACTGGTGCCAACTGTGGGTGCTCAGTTGTTCAAAACCATAGGCCTGCGTTACGGACAAAAAACTTAAGTAATGGCAACAACGAAGCAGCACTGCCTCTTAAAACAGGCCCAAGTCATTTCCACACTAGTCACGAATGTCTTTCTCCCAAGTCGCCACGATCACCAAAAAGCTCAGGGTTCCCAGATTCAGCCAACAGAGTGTCACTCCTCTTTGGCCAGTCCAACTCAAACACCCTAAATGTTTCTACCAGTATCTCTGTTATGACCAGTGGTCAGTCAAGTGAAAAAGTGTCTGATCTCCTTCAGTTGTCAGAAAATATAATGTCCCCTCCAGCACCAGTAATTCAAGTGAGTACATTTTATTTAGTTATGTCATTTTTATTGTTTAAGGCAGGGGTTCAGTGTCAGGGGGATGCAGGGAGACCCAGAAAATCAGGTCTATTTGTATTTTTATTTGCATTTTCTATCAAGGGGGCGTAGAAATCTCTTTTGAAGTTGAGAGTGAGGTGTGGGAAATGTTTTGAAATCAAGAGTGGTTGCGTCATTGCAAAAAGTAAAAGAATCCTGATTTAAGGAAATACATGAAGAAAACAAACTTTTTAAAGTAATATTGTATGATATATATATTTTTTTAAAAATGTAACGTTGTCTTTCTCCTAGGTTCAAAGTCCCAGTATTGATGTCAGCAGTAACAGAAGCCAAACAGAGGCAGATGATCTTTCATCCGTTCGTAATTCAATCCAGCGCTCTTTCTTTTCACCCAGCAGTAGTGCTGCATCTGATAGTCAATCTCAGAGTTCAGAAAGTGTCATAGTACATACAACACATACCCGCACTGTTACATTCTCTGTCCGCAGATTTTCCACTCAGGATCAACAAGTAGAGGCAGAATCTCCAAATCCGGCTGAAGGTAAAAAAAATATATATATCAATTTGTTTCCAATTTTAAAAAATTTCTTAATAATCCTTCGTAAGCTTACTGCAAAAATATATTAATATTTGACCAGACTGGTTTGATTCCCCATAAAATGCTACTCTTTTTAAATTTTTTAATGTGAAATTCCTTCTTTCGATGTGTTTTAATCAACACATAGGAAATTATCTAGTTTCATGAACTGCTTATGTTTGTTGTAGATCATAAAATGTAATTAATAATTTTTTTTTTTTTTACAGATGATTATGATCTTGCATACAAAAGTATTTTGCCTGTTCAAGTTGTATGGAACAAAAAGCCTTTGAACATTATCAGAACTGTTAGGAGTGATATGTCTCTGGTAAATACATAAATATTATTCTTTTTCTGCCATTGCTGGTTATATATTTTATTAGTATATAATTAATTTTAATTTATTTGTAAATAATGACAAATACTTTAATTAAACATTGATTAGCTTTAATAAGTAAATAATAAAAAGTGTTTTATTTTTAGATAACAGTTCTTCAGATGACTTTTGACATTGAGCACTACATGGTGGAAGCCATACGTCGTGATGCTGACTGGAGCCAAAGATATGTTGCATTCTGCAATTATGATCTTCAGATTTTAGATGTAAGTTATTCTGTCATTGAATGAATTTATAGGATCTACTATTACCAGGTAATACTTTTTTTTTTTTTTTTTAATAAATTTAAAAAAAAGCTTCTTTTTTATGATCAGTGCAACATAGCATATTTATAATTTATTTTTTTTGCCTTTTTAAGGTCTGCCCTAATAGTCAAAGTGTGTATGGAATAGTGTATGCCTTGATACAAGCTAAAGATTCTATGGACCGCAGTAAATTGAGGTAACACTGATTCCTTTAAATCATATCTTTAAATAATTTTGCGCTCCTGTATAGAGAAAGTGATTTATCACAGAAACAATTTAAAAATGTACCTATTTTGTTCAACTCTGTAATCAATTGCTGCAAATCTATTTTTGTAAAAGGAAAAGTAAGTTTAAATTATGCTGTATTGTTAACTCTATAGAAATAAATTTATGGTCTTTAATAAATTTATTTATTTCTTATGGTCAGCCTCGTTGAATTACTGGATATATTTTTAGTAATTAAAGCAGTTTTCATAATAGTTTAGGATTGGATGCATTCCCAGAGTTTGGTGATTTTTTTTCAGTTCATACTCAGTTGTCATTTTCTTTAATTTTTTTTGTGTCCAGCAATTTTACAATTTATAGACAAAAGGTTACAAATTTATTGAAAGAAATGGGAAACAAATCTCTTAGTCTGGCCCATAAATGTTTACCATCTTAGTTTTTTATGTATGGGTCATCACCCATGGAATATGTTTGCCTTTTTGTCAAAAGATTTGTATATTTAATCAAACTCTAATAATCCATTGTATAGTTCATTCTAAATAAATTTCTGTTTTATCTTCCAGTCGAATGATGGTGAAGTTGTATCAGACACAGTTTACTTTTGTCTTCAATTTATGTACAGGTAATATTAAATGTTGCTATAACTTAAGATCAGCTCTTTAAAGACATAATATCTTATTACATGTATGTTTTTTTTACAAAATAATTTGGAGTCTAATATTTAAAGTTGCTTCATGGACAAAATGAAAAAAACTGGGGAGACTACTTTTAAACAAATCTTTTTTTTAATTTTTTTTAAGGACCTTATTATATTACAGAGGCTATTTAATAATAAAAAAAATTCATCCCACTGTTTGAATGATTTCCAAAATTACTATAAATACATATGCTCACGAAGGACCTGTTTTACATACATTATTATTACATGAGTCTAAGTGTTGAACCTTTTTTTTTAAGTGGGAGTAAAAAATAATATATTACTGAGTCATATTATTAGCCCATTTAGAAATTCTTTTCAAAGGTATATTTAATTTTTGAAAATGTCAGTATGTTTCTTTTCTTTTAGGGTTATATTCCACACTTTTCATTGAACCTTTATCGGAGGTTGATGAGAAAATTCTCAGGGGGTAAGTAAAGTCCAGGCAACCAGCTATTCCCCTATCTTTGAATTATAATTTTAAGTTATTAGTTGTAATGCAATGTGTACCCACTAAGGTTAAAAATATGCTAATGGGCTGCTTAATAGCTCTTGATACATTGACTGATGCTGAATAATGTGTTGTGCGCTAAAGATGTATGTTGTAATTAATTCTAGGTAATCTATTATTTTTCATAACTTAATTACAATCACAGCGCTGAGTTTCTTACATTTAGATTAAAGGGATGTAAATAATGTAATTATTATTACAACCTTGTGACAAAGCAGTATTGCACTCTTTTTAGTCTGAAGAGCTTATTAATCAGTAAAAAGAGGGCTGATAACAATTATTCATCAAAATAGACCATTTTACTGATTACCTTCAGATTAATTGGTGCAACTAATACTTACAAGCCAAACTGAACTTTTTTTGCTGCTCTGCAGCTTTTTGGAAAAGGAATACTTAATTGTGTGCCAAGCCTGTGTAAAACAATTAAAGTCCCCTTGACAATATAAGCCAGTGATTTATCCTATTCTAATTATGTTTTAATACTTGACTTTCCTTCAGCAGTCGTGATTGGAGTTCCCCAGGCAGCAAGGAGTGCTGTCTTCTGCGTCGTAAAGCTGCAGTGCCCCAGTCATTTTACACAAGTGTTCATGTTCTCTCCAACGAAGCTGTTTTTAAAGGTGAACCCTGCATAGTGATATTTCTTTAGTAAATGCTGAAATTATCACATGAACAAATATGAAATTTATTTTTTTAAATTTATCTTCAGTTGGACACAAATTACTTTGAAAGTTCAAATAACACCAGTTTAGGCTAATATTTAAGAGAAAAATCATGGCCCTCTTATTCAGCGTCTTCATGTATAACAAAAACAACCGATAACTGTATTTATTGCCATTATAAAAAAAGAGATTTCAAGTCTTGTTCAAGGCATCTTATTCAAAAATGCACTCTTTTGGTACCATTCTCAAGAGAAAAAGTCACATTTGTATGATTACATTAATTTTTAATCCATTTTATCAAAATTACTAATTGATTTATTCATAGAGAAGTGGTTCCCTCGTACCTCTGGAATAGACTTTTCATTTATGAGGAACCCCACACCCCCACCTCAGATTGAAATATAGCTTTTGTAAATGAACTGATGTTAAAAAATAAAAAATTTTGCAGTTTCCCGCCATTATCATTATAATTTTTGCGCACCCACAAGCTCTCTGTCATGTACCCACACTAAGGGTTGAGAACCGCTGGCATAGAGCAATTCTGATGTAATGCTTATTACAAGAAAAATGCTTATTTGGTTTAAAAGGTAATTATTTAGTTTCAACTATTAAAATCTTATCTCCACAGAAAAATCTTTATCAATGCTGATAGCACCGTTCCAGTATACAGCAATCATGTTGTGAGCATAAAGGAGAGTTTGTTGTGAGAGTTTCGAGGCAACTGCTGAAGACAATATATGGCTGGCAACACATTTATCTTCAGTCATTTAATGCAGAGCAAACCTTCCAATGTTGTGAGGGCATCCCCTGTACTCATCCACAGGTCTGGCCACCTCAAGCAACCTGGCATTTATCCTTTCTACTGGAGGATCCAAGTTACCAGCAATCCACAGTGTCCTTTGTCACACTTGCTGTGCAGACAACTACTGACCCACTCACTAACTCCAGACAAATCAAAACCGCCTTTTTGTCTCACTGCTGATGTTGCTTCATGGTTTCATTTTTCTGTTATTGTACACTCAGCATATTTTTTTATTTTTTTTATTTTTATTTTTTTTATTTTTAATTTTTTTTTAGGGCTCAGAATCTCATTTAAAAGACACTGCATCTAATCGTACCTGGATATCTAAATCCAATTTGTTGTTTTTTTAAGTCGTTGTGTTTTAGAATGTCAGTGCATAGCAGTATGTTGAAAAGAAAATTAGCTCATCCAAGGTAAGACATTGCTTCTCAAACAACTGACTACACATTTGTATCAAATGATATGTCTTAAAACTAAATATAGATAAATCTGTTTGGAAGCTGAAAGGAAAAGTGTGAGTTATACCACTTAAATAGCCTTGCACTGTGGGGGCAAGAGTTCAAAATAGCAAGTTGGATGTTAAAATCATTTTTTTTTTTTTAAATGTATATGCTCATAAAGAACTGCAGTTGCATATACTACAGGTTTTTGTTTTACTTCAGCTTCCCTTAGTGACCACTCATAATTGGTAATACTGATTAACAGTTAAAGGATGAACCTAGTTCTGAAATAAATTTCCAAATTAATTATGACATTGACTTAACACCAAGGCTTGGGAAAGTAAGTGCTACAAATGTTAAGAACTGTTAGTAACAAAACAACTAGAGGCTCTGGCTTTGCTGCAGAAATATGTACATGCAATTTGCTAAGAGTCAAGAATATGTACAATTTGCTAAGAGTCAAGAAAGAGCCTTAAAATTATTATTAAACGGCCCTGGCTCTAATTAATATGTGCGAATAATCTTTATTTAATTTTGAAATTTCTAAAAAATGTTCAGGTAATGAAAGGACAGCTTTAACAGAATGTTGTTTTAAATAAAATCATTTAACTTGTTTGTACTATTCATTTTTTTATCATGCTTTTATCCTGAGATGGCAGTTGAAAATCTATCATCGCTCCATCAGATGCCCCTTTAAAATGTTTGCACTGTAACATTTCTTTACGAGAAAAGTTAACGAGAGCAGAAAAAAATCATTTTTTAGTCTGTTGACACTTGTTTACCATTTCTCTCTTGTACCTCATGGGATAACCAATTAAATATGTGTAATTCAGCCAGTTCAGTTTGGGAATGTGCTTGGACCGACTTACTTAATCTGAGGAAATAATTTATTTCATTACCATGATCATTTCTCACATTTTCTATCTGCAAATGTTCCTTTGTAAATGTACATAATATTCCACTTACTATCAGACCATGTATTTTAAATTTATTTTTTTAGTTCCGCCTTATTTTTACTAGAGGGTCAATAGTTTTTCCAGAATTAGTTTTTGTTTTAAAACTTGAACTTTCTGTGAGCTATTTAGATGTTTGCTCATAAGTTATGCAATTCAAAAAATATATATTTACTTAGAAGTTGTGTTGTTAGTCTTATTGGCTGCATTGAGAAATCTTTCATCTTTATCAATTGAACAAGTTGTTGTTAATCATTTTTTTTTTTAAACTTTAAAACAAGTTTTCTTGGTGTGGGTCTGGTGTGAAGTGACATTTACAAATTCAACAAAACTTTGTAGTTCAAAAACTGTGTTTGAAATATCAGCATTTAACACAAATTATATTAAAACCATTTGAAGTCTTTTCATATAAATTTGAATATTGAAGTGTTTGAATATTGAAGTGATGATTAACCATTTCAGGGAGCTAATTTTAAAAGTATTTAAAATATTTAATCACTATTATTCAATTAAAATTTTTTTTTTTTTTTTATACTCCATTTTATTTTAGAACTATCACAGTTACTTGATGAAACTGATTTTATTGTATTTATTCCTTCATAATTGGATAACTGCATTTGTAATCATAGCAAAAACAATTTTTAAAAAGTATAACACAATTATACATAATGTTTCATGAGGATTGGAACTACATTAGCAGCTTATGAAGTTTAAAGGAGCCCATCACAAAGAACCAAAGACTGTACATTCCAGCTACTTGAATAATTCAATGATTTTTTTTTCTTTTGTGTATGTTTGCCTCGATCATAAGACTTCCTTAGTAGTTTGGTCTGATTTAGTTTGATGTAGCTCAATAGATGTGGTTCTCCGAGTGGAGATTCATTGGTTAAAGCAAGCCAAATGGCCAGTAACTTAGAGCTGTTCAGTCTTCTGGTGGTCTTCACTTCCTTGGTGGAGATTTATTTTGACTGGGTTAGACAAACTACAAACTTCCTACATGTGCAAGTTCTTGTGAGAAAGGGCTCGGACGCAAGCAATTGACACACTTCTTGTTATTGTGTAAAAATAACTATATTTGCCTGTCGACAATCTTTACTTTCTTTTCAGTATTCTTTCAGAATCTCCATGGACCAGCATTCCATAGTTTACTAGTAGGTCAAGGTTGGTGACAAAAGCGACAATTGATCGTGCCCAAAATGTTTGAATTTGTAACAAGTTTTATTTTCAACCATTATTCCATGGTGTCAATTTTTTTTTACTCATATGTTCAATTAATTATGTGGGTCAACACACGATGTAAAAAGTATGTTGATAATATTGACATTTCTGGGACTATCATCATACACAAACCATTTTTATATACTTGCCTCTCAGATGATCACTGCCATTGCTTGTGTTCTATCAGCTGCCATGGTCACTCTGTTTATTTTACCAAGTTTTTAAGATGCTGTTAACTTTCAAGTATTATTGCTGATGTGTGCACTCTTCAGAGTTGGTGTGGTGTTGTGGTTAGAATTGTTTTGTTTTTTTATGGTTATATGTTCCAGTTTGATTCAAGTACTTTGTTTTTTTCTTCCCATATGTTTGTCTCTTATGTGCAGTCCGTTTATTGCATTTTTTGTGAGCTATGTGGGTATGTGTTATGCCTTGTATTTCTTGTTTTCTTCTTTCTTTCTACTCCTTCAACACATAGATCCAGATCATCTCTCATATGTTTGGTAAAACTAAAAGCGCCTATGTCATTGGCGCTTTTTGAATTGGAAGTGAAATTTATTATTGAGTTGAAGCAATATAAAATTGTTATTTTATTTGAAGTTTATTTATTATTTAATAACTTCCATTTTTTAGTGCTTTGATGCGTTTTCATTCATGACATATTTATTTGCGATTACAAAATTATGTAGCAGACTGAGGAATTATTAGCACCAACAACCTGAGAATCATAGCACAGTCAATTCACCCATTTTGAAAAGTAAAGCTTTCAAGTGCCATTACAAGTTGTATATATTTCAGTATGTGGCACAGGAAATCATATCACTGTTTTGTTTTAATAAGAATGACTTTAATAACTATGTTATCTTAGCTATTTATTTAATTTAATTTACTGTTTTGTTCTATCCACCAAGAATAGAAGTTCTGGCCCTTTAGTGTATACTAGAAAAAATTCACAACTAATGTTACAAACCTAGGTTACCAATATAGACTATGTTTTTATTCAGGGAATGCAGGCCATTCAAACTTCATTGTGTTGCTGAAGGATACTGTAAGTTCTCTCCTTGTATTTAGTGGCAAAATAAGCATAATGTTAGGCTCATGATATGCACCATGGATCACAGCTCGGGAGCTGCTTTATTCAAGAGGAAACCTGCAAGCCTTCATGGGGTAGGTTGTTTTAAATCATTTCAGCTCCAATCCCTAAGGTTCAGTCATCATAAGTATTTATTTATGATGTCTGACTGGGAGAGCATCTGGAAGGTTAGTTTTACCCTCTTGTGAAATGATTTTGTGTGTGGGGGGGGGGGGGTGGAATGAAGTGGATTCTCTTCCCATGCATGTTTCTTTATGGCACAGTCTGCTTTCAAGTGCTACGAGCTTCTAAGAGATGTACCTTGGGCAATGAAAAGGCTGGTGCCTCTGTCCTATGTTTTGTTTATGAATTGAGTTAATTGTTAGGCATTCAATTAAAATAGTACTTTTGATGGGTTATCTTTTAAAACAATTGAGCTGTTGTCATTCTGGAATTTTTAGCTTTAAAGATATGTAAAAATTAATTTATCCAGTACATAATTTTTATTCTAGACTTTTAAAAAGTGCATTAGATAATAAATTACAGCTGTTTTAAAATTTGCTTGCAAAAAGTTTCTTTTTGTAATGGCATCTAGTAGTGAATTTGTTTTTGATAGGTGATCGTAACAAAATGTTTACAAAATCATTGTCTGTATTGCTATTGTATAAATTACCATTCCCTGAGATTGAAATTTATCAACTGTATATATGTTTTCAAATAGCTGGTTTGTTCTCTTTTAATGTTGTGGTTATTGAAATATTCTGGTGTAATTCCAGTTTTTTAGGTCCGTTTTAGATCAAGGGCCTATCTTGCTATATGGCATTTTGCTTATGATCTATGTACAAAAAAATTGTTTGTTTTTAATTTATGCTTTAACTTTAATGTTTAGGAAATTGACAAACTTTCTTGTTTTTTTTTTTAACACAGGAATGATAGAAAACAAACATGCTGAGAATTAAAAGCATTTGAAATCAGTCTCAGACTTCAATTTTTTTTAAATTTCAGTTATTTAATAGTATTAATATACTTTTGTTCCTTGCAGTTCTTTTAATTATTTTGTTGATTGCTTATGTCAATGTCTATGCTGTGAGCATGCTAAAATAGCATGGGCACAAAGGCTATTAAAAGTACTCAATCATATGTCACCTTAAAAGAAGTGAAATAATTTTAGTTTAGATTTGTAAGATAAACTTGCTCAACTTAGATTTTATCTTTTATCCAGAGCTGGAGATTTGATACAAAGATATAACAAAACAATAAGTACTAATCACATTATTTCATAATGTTTCTGCCTTAGAATGAAGAAAAAAATATGAAATGATTTTAAATTGTAAGCTGGTGATTAGGCTACTGGCTACTGTCAGTAAATTGTGATGGCAGTAGAATGATAGAAAAATAAAACGTCCGTTTAGTCTTAGTTTATGCCTAGAGCCTAGAGTCCACAACTAGTTTTATTAAAATTTATTCTAAAATATAAGTATTTTTTTAAAAATCCCCATTAAATCCTTTATATTAACTTTGCTTTTATTGTTAGACTTCTACTTCATAACTTACAATCACGCTATCTTAAGTTAGTCGTATCTAAAAACATCCAAGTCAAAGTCTCCTAATAATAATAAGTAATAAGAAGCACTCTGTAACTGTACTGTAAGTCTAATGAGTTTTTTTGAGTATGAGTCAATGAGTGTTAAAGTTTACTAGATTTTTGAATAATTTTCTTTGAAATCGACATAAGAATTTTAGAAATATGATATTCCTAGTTAAATTTAAAAAAATTAAATGTGCTATATGATTTTTATAAAAATATAGTCCAATCAGAGCCCCCCTACGACCAACTCACAACGTATGATTATATTTGTAGTGAACTAACAATTGTTTCGGACACATTCTTTTTCTTTACTTTAAATTGATCCTGTTTTTAAGTAAGGCCGGCACTACGTACACCGCGGCGGTGTACCTAGCGAAACTATTGACTTTGGCCTGCGTACACCGCGGCGGTGTACCTAGCTAAATCATGGTCTGTGGCCTGCGTACACCGCAGCGATTTACAGTAGCCAAACTATGGTCTTTGCGAGTCTTTAACTTTTTGGCCTAACCGGTACTTGTAGATTTAATGTTATACTCGTGTTAAAACTGAAAACTATTAAAAATTCGTTTATTACCTTGGGAAGATATTGAGTAAGGTCCACGCGTATGTGGCAAAGTGCATGTAAAGCATTTCTTATTATTTTTGGAAGGGAAGGGGCTGGGGGGGGG